ATAAACCTAGGAGCTTTTTTCACAGGAGGTGGCAGCCGATCAATGATTCTCTCTCATCACTGATGTTTCTGCCTCTCTGAAATCAATAAAACATATTTAAAAAACAAAAGACTTTGGAAAAGGGAACCAATGTTCTCTAGTCAAAATGAACTGACGTGCCATGGTGGGTCAGAGCGTAAGCCACAGGTTGCGTGGACAGGGCCACACGCCCACCCCCACCCCCAATTCCTACAGGGAGCTTTCGTTGGAGGAAGGCGGAGAGGTGGAGGGGAGGGTGAGAGGACACATTTAAACAGACCCTCCGACCCCCTTCGTTTATTCAGGAGGACACCGGGCGGGGGAGGGCGCAGCATGGAGAGACCTGGTGCACCCAGAGGTACACATCAGTGCTTCTGGAAGTTAGGCAAGTCCAGCTCTGGAGCGGAGAGACCGGACTAGGGCTCAAAGCCACGCCTCTTGCCTTTTGTTTTGTTAACACATTCTGCGAATTCCACAGTCTGCTCTCAAACCTGTGAACTGTGACAGGCTTAGGCTCACCTGGGGAGCCTGGTAACCACCCGAGATCCTGATGCAGGTGGGGAGAGGGAGGCCTGACTGTGCAGCTTTAACAGGCTCCCAGGTGAGGTCAAGGGCACCGGTCCGGGAGCGCCAAGTGCCACCCTGCCACCTTAGCCGACAGCGATTACGTCTTGGGCAGGCAGAGCGGCGTGAAAGAGGCCGCTCTCTCTGGGGAAATTCCAAATAGCCAGTCCTACCCATTGGCCAAGGATAATCTTTTCCCTTGGGCGACTTCCATGTGTGTCACTTTATCTAAGAAAAACACAGCTTGCCTGGCGAGTTAGGGAATATTAAATCGGGGAGGCTTGACCTCTCAGTGTGTGGCAGGCGATCTGCCCAGCTCTCGCGAGGAGCATGCGGGCAGCGGCTCCCCTGCTGTTACCTTTGCTGGACAAGTGCTTTGGAATCAGTGTCTGCTCCGTCCAGAGTGCTGGTTTGCCACTGTATCTGTTGTTGAGTTTAATCATAACTTACTGTCCCTTTACCTTCATCGTCATCCACTTAGTCTATTGTTGATGCAGCCCCTACTGTTTCTGGTGTCAACAGTTCCCACCACAGGCTTGTTTACCCTCATTCTCCAAAACCTAAAACTGTCAGATGTGTACACATTGTGCTTTTAAAGGGAAATACCACCGATGGCGATGGCTGTTGCTAAAGCAGCGGTTCTCAACCTGTGGGTCGCGACCCCTTTGGTGGTCGAATGACCCTTTCATAGGGGTCGCCTAAGACCATCAGAAAACACATATATAATTACATATTGTTTTTGTGATTAATCACTATGCTTTAATTATGTTCAATTTGTAATAATGAAAATACACCCTGCATATCAGATATTTACATTACGATTCATAACAGTAGCAAAATTATAGTTTGAAGTAGCAACAAAAATAATTTTATGGTTGGGGGTCACCACAACATGAGGAACTGTATTAAAGGGTTGCAGCATTAGGAAGGTTGAGAACCACTGTGCTAAAGCAAACAGATACAATGAGTCCAAGAATGGCCCTTGTACTCCGAGAGGCCCCGGGACAGAAGGTGACACCTGGCAGCTGACAGCTCTGACACCGGGAAGGGCAGGGCGAAGGGTGAGGGGAAAGGCATGTCACACAGCCCAGCCCCAAGCCGAGGAGAGATGGCCACGGAGCTGATGGGAGCGGAGAGCCCACTAGAGCAGGCCGACCCCAAACTTGAATATAGGAAATAAATGCAAAACAGGTTCCTACTTGAGGTGCACAGTGTCCTCGATGGGGACTTGGGCTGCGTGCGGACGGCAGGTGTCGAGGTGTTCGTCAGAACCCTGGGGGCGTACTGGGGCACCGTGGGCGGGTAGTAGGGAGCTGGATACACCACGTAGGCACTGGGGTCCACAGAGGGCCGCGGTGGGTATAGGTTTTCGGGCTGGTACCCATGGTTTTCGTAGTAAGGCCCAACACCTGGTGGTAATCCCTAAACAATAAAAAAGAAGATGAATAATATGCAACCCTAATGACCCTAATTATACCAAAAGCCGAACTTACCTAGGAGAAAGGCTAACCAAGTTTTCAATTAATATTCATTTCTTTATTGAGGTACTAGAGGCCCGATGCACGAAATTCGTGCATGGGGGGGGGTTGGTCCCTTACCCGGCCTGCACCCTCTCCAATCTGGGACACCCTCGAGGGATGTCCGAATGCTGGTTTAGGCCCCATCCCACAGTCGGACATCCCTCTCACAATTGGGACTGCTGACTACTAACTGCTCGCCTGCCTGCCTGCCTGCCTGATCGCCCCTAACTGGCCCCCTGCTGGCCTGGTTGCCCCCTAACTGGTCCCCTGCCAGCCTGATCACCCCTAACCGCCTCTGCCTTGGCCCCCGCCACCGTGGCTTTGTCTGGAAGGAAGTCGGACATCCGGAAGATGTCCAGTCGACCGGGTCTAATTAGCATATTACCCTTTTATTAGTATAGATAATTGATATGTAATATTATATTAATTTCAGGAGCACAACATAATAATTTGATATTTGTACAAATTGTGAAAATGATTACCACAATAAGTCTAGTTAACTTCCATCACCATACATGGTTAAAAATATTTTTCCTTATGAGAATTTTTAAGATGTATTTTTTTAAGAGCTTTCAAATGTGCAGTACAGTATTGTCACTACAGTTACTGTGCTGCACATTCCATCCCCAAGACTTTTTACTTTCTAAACGGAAGTTCATACTTTTTTGACCCCCTTCACCCATTTCACACATTCCCTTTTTAAGAAAAAGTGTGGCCCTAGCTGGTTTGGCTCAATGGGTAGAGCGTTGGCCTGCAGACTGAAGGGTCCCAGGTTCGATTCCGGCCAAGGGCACATGCCTGGGCTGCAGGTTCGATCCCCAGTAGGGCGCATGCAGGAGGCAGCCGATCAATGATTCTCTCTCATCATTGATGTTTTTATCTCTCTCTCCCTCTCCTTTCCTCTCTAAGATCAATAATATATATGTATTTAAAAAAAAAAGAAAAAAAAAGAAAAAGTGTGGAAGTCTGGGAATGAGTCAATACCGTGAGAATGGAGTACAAAGTTATCAACTAGCGATACCAGAATTATAAATAGACCCATTTTACACAGAGACACATGTGTGAGAGGTTACCAAATTTACCTATGCATGTTACTTGCAAATTCCTTTTGTATCTCCTCTTCTCTTCTCTTATAAAAGTATATCACATGTACTCACCATCTCTTGTTAAAGGTCCTGTACCTGGTTTACAATTGGGGGCTGCTTAGCAGTTCTGCCTAAATAAAAACTTCCTTATACAGCACACGCATTTTGTGGAGAGTATGTGGAATTTCTGGGTCCAAAAGTGGAAGGTACCGCCCCAACCATCGAATTTTATTCTCAGCTGCAGCCTTGGGCTGGTTTGTGTTCTTAGAAAGCCCTTCTTCTCTTTCTACTTAAAAATTGCGTCTCCAGGCCCAGCCAGGCAGCCAATCAATGATTCTCTCTCATCACTGATGTTTCTCTCCCTCTCCCTTCCTCTCTGAAATCAATAAAAATATATTTTTTAAAAATTGCCTCTCCAGGTCTACCCTTCAAGACACCCCCCCCCCTCCCAACAGGCCACTCTAGACCCTGCCAGCCTTCGACCCTCAGACCCTCACCACGTCAGCACCTTCAGCCACCCGCTGGCTGGGAGGTCTCCAGGCCGCCTTTCTTCCCCTGGTTAATTTCTCCCCTCAGGTCTTGCTGATTGTGATCTCAGAGAGGACGGGTACTCTGAGCAGAGGCAACTCAACGCTTGGAATTTTAAACGGAGCCTTCAGGGACATGTGATTATGAAGAAGTGAGCCAAATGCAGGCTCCCAGAGTCCACCTTCCCTTAATAACTCACCAATGCTCTCCTTCTAAAGTCTAAAGAGTATAAGTCTAAACCAAGCAGCAGAGAGAGAAAACGAGATGTAATCTCCCGCCTAACCAGAGGCAAAACAGGCGGCACGTGTGTCCGGCCCTATCGGCAGCATCTGAGAACATGCCGTCCACCAGGAAAGGCTGCAGCAGGCACGGGCGTCCGTCCTGGCAGATTCCCGTGCCGCGGACTTGAAATTTAAAATGGACCAGGAATATATACACCAGTAACAACTAAGGGCGGGGGAGCAACGGGTCTATTTTCCAGACACAGGACCTAGAAAACTGTTAGTGACCACAACTCTTCACTAAAGAGTTATCCCAGGAATAAGGTGAACCTGCGAGATATGATGGCGCATGAGGAAAGTGCATTTGCCTCCAGTGGGGGGTTCCAGGGAGAGAGAGAGCCAGCCCAGCGCCCCCGTCAGTGAGGACCTGTCCCAGTGTATCAGGAGCTAGGCTACACGACCGTCTGCTGGCCCATCTTACCCCTCTTAGCACCATCCTGCCCCCATCTGTACCCACACCACCCCTGTCCTGCCCCACTCCCACCCTTAGGGCAGGAAGAGAAGAGGCCAAGGTGAGAACCCTCCTCTCCCCACACCCACCCAACAGCTTCGGGACTCTCCTCTGAGCAGCTGCTGTGCGGCCATGCCCTGCCTCCCGCTCACCTGTGATGTACAGAAGGCCGTGACCAACCTCCACGGAGCACACACAGTCCCGACAAACAGCTCTTAATGTTCTGACCTCCCCCCGCCCCCCCCCCCCGCCCCCCGGGAACTACCAGAAGGAACGAGGGAGCGAGGAAAAGCGCAGGCACGCGGCAGTCCACCACTTACTGAGTTTAACGCCATCCTGACTTCGTCAGCAGCATCAGGTAACGGGAGGTATTTGGGACGTTCAAGATGACCTAGAAGAAAGGATGACAAGACTGTGATCTTTCCATACCAGTCAGTTTCCAGAAGATCAGTTGAGAAAGAACTAGAAAACTGTCCAGGTGAGAGCTACCTCTCTCCAGAACAGACTGCCGAGTCCTCCCCACAGCTGCCGCTGCAGGAGCCCGGGGCTGCAGCTCCCGCCAGCCAGGAGGCCAGCCCGGCGAGGTGACCTCCACCCACAGGACAATCCAGGGACTAGAAACACACAAGGTGGCTCGGCCTCAAGTGCAGCAGAGGCGACAGGTGGGCAAACACCTGGAGTCAACTCCTGGCAGGTCCACTCCCTGGGCCAAAAGTAAATCTCTCTAAACCTCAGGCCGAGTGGACACAGTCACCGGGCAGTGCCGGGCACCGAGTGACAGCGGGCATCCATCTATCAGACGCGACCTGGCTCGCACCTGCAGAGAGAGAGCACCCGGCAGCACGAGGAAGCAGCCCACACCTGAGCAGGTGGCCTAGAACGTAGTACCGAGGAGAGGCCACACCTGGCTTCTTAACTAAGCCATATGGAATCTTCCATTTCTTAATAAACACACATGTAAAAAAAAAACGTGTACACACATGTAAAAAAAATCTGTGAAACACATCCACACCCACCCACTCCTCCGTTGACTAGCCTAAGTCCTGAAAGGAAATTCAGAAGTCATCTTCTGGGTGGTTTCTAATGAAAAGGAGGCTCTGGGTCACTTGTCTGCTGTCTGTGAAGCGCTCACAGTAATCGCTAGAAAGACCGTCCACACAGAAAGCTCTGTGGGAAAGCCCCTCTGACCTCACTCTCCCTCCTGCGGGCAAATGAGGGCTTTTACCCGCCCTCCCCTGCTTTCTGGCAACGACCAAAGAATGCTTCAAGGAATGGCCTTTGCCATCATGCGTACACAGACGTGTTCCCAGTGAGAAAGCTCTGGGCTTCCAGGCTGGGACCAGATCCGGAGATGTTCCATCTGTACCGTGCCCGGCACACAGTAGGTGCTCAACAGCAGCAGGCAGCACGGCACGTGGGAAAGCCCAGGACCTCCGGGGCCAGCTTCTGGGTCCTGACCCCGGCTCGGTCTTCCACAGGCTGTGACCTGGGACCAGTCAGTTAACGCTTCTTTGCCTCAGTTTCCCCATCTGCAAAAGGAGGTCCAGTAACGCCCACTCCAGGGTCGTCGGGGAATGAGATGAGTTGATGCTAGTGACGCTCTCAGTGCCTGGCACACAGCAAGTGCTGCATACATTTCTGTTTTAAATAAAAGCGATGGTAAGGCTGATAAACGTTGAGCAGCCAGTTGGGGGGAGGGGGGCTCGCTCAGCATGGCACTTGCAGATTTGCCTCTGATAAGCTACGGGCATGAAACCCACCAGCTCTGAACACACAGGGAGGAGGAGGACAGAGCCTGCTCCAGCACACCGCTGCCCTGCTGTCTCCTGAGCAGAATTGCCACCTGACTCATGAATCTAACAACAGCAGCATGCTCTGAATAAAACAGGAGGGTGGATTTTTAATCTTGGGAAACCTCGTTGACTAGGTCCCCCCAAATGCACCAGATTGTCTATCTACTCTTCCTGTCAGGATAAAACCTAAGAACCAGGTCACGTTGATAGCGCTGAGGCTTTTTTACGATTAAAAAGAAGTCAACAGCTTCCCAGGTAAGAGACAAGAAAGCTGTTCCATACACAGGGGGAGGGGTCCCCATTTAGGGTACACATGACATTTAAGCCTTTAAATGGCGCGATTATCACATATTCATATACCTTCCCTGCCTGTGCCCCGTGAAGCAAAAGCCTTCTAAAACCACATCCGCTCAGTCAACTCCACTCCCCTCTAGTCTAAGCTGGACTAAACTCGTCACCTTCCTGGGATTAATTTGAACAGAGTCCGGCTGAGCGGGCGTTCTCACCCCTCCGGTCGCTCTGCTCCCTGCGGCCACTGCGGTGGGGGTGTGGGGGGGCCTCTGAGCCAGCTCCCCAGTTACAGGTGTGGATGAAGTTTCAGGAAATGAACATTCGATCCACTGGCGGCTTTCCCAGGTGAGGAGCCCTCTGAAAGGAGTGAGGCATCGGTGCTCAAAATCCAGGCTTCCTATTCATTCCAGATCCCTAACAGTGAGACGAGGAGGCCGGAGAGGAAGCGCGGGGAGCCACGGCCAAGAATGGCCCACTAAGAGCCCAGGGACCCAGAACGAATGCAGCGTGTCCCGTCTCATCCAGCCATCCATGGCCCACAAAGCCTCAGAACCGAAAGCACCCAGTGTGCCCAGATCAGCTCCCCGACTTTGGAGTAGAAGGCGAGGGTCGCGATGCCTCGGATCTCCTCTGGCCCAGAAGAAGGGAGGAGGATTTTCCCAGCGGAACGGGGTCTGGAAGGAAACCCGCAGATCACCTTCGGTCCCGCTCCTCTTCAAACGGCAAGTCCGAGCGCGCCCACGCGGGACAGCGAGTCTGTTTTCTGAAAGTAGCCAGGCAACCTAGAGACGGCACTGTGCCACCAACGGCCTCTCGTGCCCTTTAAAGGACACCGATGACTGTTCTTCCCTCTGGACACCAGCCACAATGAAGCACTTTTCCTTTAAGTGACAAAAAAGCAAATGTGCCTCCGAGCTCCTAACCGGCCGGCTCCTCGTCCACAGCACACAACAGAACCCGGTCGTTTCGGTCCACTGTGGGCCTGCTCTCAGGGAGCTGAGTCACGCCTGAGTCACCTGCGGCCCTGCGGGAAAATCCTAGCTGCACCCCACGACAGAATAACAAAGCTGGTCCCGAGCAATAATCATCTCTTCTCGGGTGTCTGTCCTCTGGACACCTCCGCCTACATTAGCTAGAGGCCAATTGGAAAAACCACCAAACTAATGCGAATCGGCTCAGTCTCAGAGATGCATCCAGGGGGGTCAGGGGTGTTTCCTACGAAGAAGGATCCACTGACTTCACCTCATACTCCCCTTCAGGCATGTGCTGTGGTGCAGCCCCCCCTGGGCGCCTTCCGGGGGTCACAGGTGTGACGCACCGATGGGGCCCAGCTTCCTGGACCTCAGAACCGGGGTCCCTTCTTCAAATGCCAAAGCAAGCAATGGCAGGAGACACTCCCCATCCAACGAGCCAACGGCCCCCTTATGCCTCAACCGCTGCACAAAACCACATTATACAAAAGGATGCTCTCATGCCTGTTGGGGACAGCACACACTGTTAAAGTTAACGGAGTAGATTTAAACAGCAGTTCAACACAAACAGTATAAGGCGATCAGACAAATGGCATATACAGTGATGAGAGAGAGAGAGAGAGAGAGAGAGAGAGAGAGAGAGAGAAACCCCTCAGGAGAGGCACTGTCCGCAGCATCCAAGTTTCTTTTTCAATGAATGCCTCATTGTCCTGACAGACTTTTTAGGGCAGGAAATGGGTGTGGTCCTTTATTATTATTTTTAAAATCTAGCTGGTATCATACAAAGAAATTGTTCCGATATATTTTGAGTTCCAAAGGCCAAATGAGTAAGAGGCAACGTAAGAGTGAGAGAGCCGGAGAGCCTGCACCTGGACAAAACCCCGCAGGTCCAGGTGTGCAAAACGGAGCCACGCCTAACAGGACAGACGGTCCGGGCCTCTCCAGGAGGGAGTGTGCAAAGGCCACTGGCTGAGGTTTAAGGAACTGGCCCAGTCGGTCTGTGAAATGGGGATCATACATGAGCAGGTTGCCGCCAGGAGGAAGTGTGTAAGTTCCCAGCACCGTGCCCAGCCGCGATGAGCACTTCGTGGTAACAGTGACAGGTGCTAGGATTTTCCTCCCGGTATCCAAGGGGCTGTTATGTGGGGAGGGACTCCATTTGTGTAAATCCAAAGGACAAAACCAGGACCAAAATAGTCAGAAATATCAGAAAGCCAGGTTTCACTCAACCCAGGGAAACCATGTTCAAATGGTTTCCCAACTGGGCCATCTCGGAAAGAGCAGAGTTTTCACACTTAAGACTGTTTGATCCAATACTGGAAGCTCATTACTCAAGGACATTCTAGAACAGACCTGGGCTTTAGCTGGGAGGCCAGACATCATGCTCGTTTAAGCTGTGTGGTCGGAAACGCGAAGGAGGAACACTACACTCGTCCCTAGAAAACCCAGCTCAAGGGCTGGAGTGAGGTCAGCTGCGGCGTCCTGCCAGGAAGGCCCCTTGGAAGGCAATGACCTTCAAGGGAACCTGACACTGGGTCTCAAGCCACACACGCACCAACAATAATAAAGACCGCGCTTTGTTCCATCTTCCAATTCGGCTCTCACTTGGAAATATTTATCTAACTAACGTCCACTGGCCGGCCATCGCCCTGCCCGCTCCTCTCAGCCCTTCTCAGGTACTCACTCTCCCGGCTGTTCTGTCCTGGCGTGAACTTCCAGACATCAGCAGCCGCAGCCGGGAGCTCGCAGAGCCCTCCAAACATTTTTCTCTCTGATCACATTTCTGCACTATCCCCGCTCGTGCACACACACATCCCCCATTGATGCCTGAGGACTGACCATCATCTATTCTATACACACAGACCAAATACCTAGAGATGGTCACCAAGAGCAAGTCCTTTCCTCCTCCTCCCTGGCTCGCCTCTAACAAGAGCAAAGGCCTGTCTTTGAGTCCCTTCCCTTCTTCCCACGCCAGTTTACAATCCAAGTGACTGCCCGCACCTCCCCAGAAAATCACTGACTGCCTTTCTCCCCAGGCGCTTCTGCCGCCGCTGTGACATTTCCCCCGTGTTCCAGTTCCTCTTCTAACCACTGTCCGGGGTGAGGACAAGCCAGCCCCAGGCTGCCTGACCTCAGACTCCTCCTCTAGACGGTCTCCCAAGACTGCTGTGTGATCAGCCCCGGCCGCTGCTAGTCAGGGGGATGGTACATGTCGTTGGATGTCGCCTTCCTTATCTCAGGGCCCATCGCCCTGGGGACTTGCAAGCCAGAGCGCCCCAAGATGGCCTGCGGTGCTCCCCTACCCCGAGCCGAGCCAAAGGGGCTCACCAAGCCCAGCCCAGGGCAGATCTCAGCTCTTAGGTCCTCACACCTTTGCACCCCAAGCCCCCAGGCCACCTGATGTCTGGAGGGGGGTGGGCAGACCCCACCTCAGGGCAGGTACCCTGGAGAGTAAGGAGGGGCCCAGCAAGTGTGGGAAGGGGGGCCCCTCTGGGGGTCCAGAGCAGTGGGAGAGAACAGAGGTGGGAAAGCCCTGAGGGCCTTGAACGCCCCTTCAGACCCCCCTCCCCCCTCCTCCCCAGCAGGCACAGCTTCCAAGCCTTAAGTAACCCAAACCGACCATAAATCGACCCGCTCACCTTGCCTTTCTGCTTCCAGGCCCAAGGCTTGGACTTGATAGGCAGTTCCCAAACCGCGAATTTTCTGGAAGGTTTAGAGAAATAGACTCGCTGCTCCGAGAGTCTAATGCAGTAACTGAACCAAGGCAATGACCCCATACTGTGACAAAGCTCCCCCAGGACTCCCGTCACCAGCCCGGGTCCTGGTCTACGCTACCTGGTGGACCGCCCCCTCCCCCAGGCTGGACCAGAGGCAGTCAGAGCGCCCGGAAGAGGACGATTATCACGGGCATGCTGTCCTGTGCATGTGACTAGGCTGCACCATCCACAGGACATTTCACCAGCGTCTTGTCCCTCGATGCCTCATCACCCAAGGAGGTCAGCCCCACTGAGGAGTCCCTCTGGGGTCACTCTGGAAGGGGTCAGCACACAGCCCAGGGGGGACATTAGCCCGGCCCTTTCACCTGAGGCCCCCAGGCCTGGCCTCAGCTCCCCTTTCTCCTCTCTCCTCTGGCTTTCACACATGCAAACCTCCTGGAGGAAGGCAAGGGAAGTGACCCACGCCAGCCCAGAGCCAGAGGGCCTGCCGTCACCCCCAGTTCTCTCCACAGGGCCTTGGACAGTCACCTCACCTCCCTGCCTCAGCTCCTTCCACTGCATTAAATAGGTAAGGAACGATGCCTCGCTAGAAGGAAGTGCCACATGTTTGACTTGCTGTTACTCTAAGACCAGTGGGGCCAAATTTGCTCCTACAGTTCAGGTGACTGGCCGGGGCGGGGCAGCCAGGGTGTAGGTGCCAAGCTCCAAGGCACTCACAACCCTGTTGCTAGAAGGTTGACCTTGGGGGCATCCATGAGAAGGAAGTCACTGGGGACCAAACAAATGGCCAACCTAGGAACAAAGGCCCATGCTGCTCACCAGTTGCTATTTTTGAAAGACAGAAACAGGTGTGAATGGCCAACCAGGAGGCGGCCCAGCCCAGAGGACCCACCTCCTGTTTGCTCACTCAGTTGGAGCCCTTGCCTTCCACTCTAACCTCATCTGCCCAGCAGGGTGGGCTGGGGTGCAGGATGGAGGCAGGCCCCACCTCTGGTAAAGCTGGGGGAGCAGCGAGCAACCCTCTTGAGGGGGATCCCCGTCACCTGGCCCACCAGACCCCTCCAACTTACTCAGCAGCAGGAGCAGCCTAGGACCCTGGCTCCCTCAGTGCCTGCGCCCCCAGGTCCCTTGGCCTTGGTCAGCTCAGGCCCGCTCCCTGACCCCACCCTTAGTCCCTGGTGATTGGCTTTTTTCTCACTCCTGGGGAGCCCTCCCACCTCCCAGGCAAAGTCAACAACCCTCCCCCACTCTAGGTTTCCTAAACATCTCAGAACTCGCCATGCTGCCTTTGTAACTTTCCATTCTGTGAGTGACTCTCCACAGCTGTGGGCGCCAGGAGCGCAAGGATCCATGCGCCTGTGTCCCCCGCCTGTCTTATTGTAGCGCAGGGACTACCCGGCGAGTTTGAATTGAGGGGTACGCAGCCTTGAGGCTGGGCCCTGGGGAACCCGGCTGGCCAGATCGACCTCGAACGCTGTGCCGTCATTTATTTCCCTCCCAAAGGAGCTACTAGAATTCCCCCGCAGCCTGAAGCCTGAGCACCCCGAAAAGAAACTGGGGGCCACTGCGCTGTGCCTCGGGCAGGGCGGCCCTGCGCGACACCTGCGTGCGTGGGACTGCGGGCACGCACAGGCCTGGGCCTGAGCCAGGGCCGGTGGCCACGTGCAAGCAGGCGTCTGCGATGTGGACGCACCAACTTTGAGGCCGTAAAGCAATTCTCCCGCAGGACCCGAGGGCCGCGGGCAAGGTGCCCACTGCCCGGCTGGTGCGCTTGGCTGCCCGGCCACGGCCCCGGGTCCGGCAGGCGGTGGACCGGAGCGCCCGGTGCCCGGCTTCTCCTGCAGGGAGCGCGCGCCCAGGGTCCGGGACCGCTCCGCCCGACCGGTTCCTGCGGGGCCCGGGGGGCCGGCTCTCGTCGCCGCTACCGGGTCGCCGCGTCGGCTGGGGCGACGGGCAGTCCCTCCCCCGTCCGTGCCTCGCGCGGGGACCCTCCGGCGGCCTTTCCCCACCGTCCCCGCCGCGCCGGCCGTATCGCTTCGGGGCATCTCAGCGAGTTTTCAAGTTTCTCCCGACCCCGGAGGTAACCGAGAAGCAGAAGGAGT